CCACATAGAGGATCGAACCCGGGGTCTTTGTGTGCGCTACAGCCCAGCCCTGTCTGTGTTTTAAGTTGGTGTCTCGCTAATCAGTAACTTGTCCCTTCAGGGCTCTAACTTGCAAACCTCCCGCCTCAGCCTTTCCACATGTTGGCTTACAGGTGCGCAGTGCACCGAAGAGCCCAGCTTTGTTAGCTCCATTTTATGACGGAGGAAACAGAGCCTGACAGATGGGCTCACGCAGCCAAAAAGAAGTAGCGGGCCAGAGTCAAACCCAATCGGACTGCAAAGCCCTGGGTTTCGGGTACCGTCTGCCTCCTCTCGGAACGGGCCTTGGCCAACCACAGACGGTAACACAGAGGTCAAGAGCAGGAGACAGCAGCCAGTCCAGACTGTGCGCCCTCCCCGCGTGCAGCTGGCTTTCTGGAACCCCTTCCGCCGGGCCCAGAGAGGCCTGGCTGACTCTTGACCCTGCCCTTGAAAACGCACAGTAGCTGGTTTTTCGGGGGTGAGGGGTGGGGAATGAGCTGCTTCCTTTGTCGCAAGAGCCCCAAACTGGCCCTGCCACAGGTGGGGGAGTCTTGCCTTCCCTTGAGGCCTCATCGTGAGGTTCCCGTGCAGACACCCAGGGCACGCAGTGGGCAGGTCCTGGGACCCTTGCCTGAGGTTTCTGAGGACCAGAAGATGCGGGGTGGCAGTGGGGGCAGAGGCTGGGCCTGGCCTGCCCACCGGCCTCCTCCTCAGCATCCCTGGCTTGGCTGGAGGGCGCTGGCACTCTGGGGGTCTGTCGGAAGGTTCCTCTGGCGGCTGGTGGCAGCGTGTACAGCTCACTAATTAATTAGCGCTTAAGTACTTAGCATCCTCCTGCCTAGTGTCAAACGAGGATTTGAGTCTTAATTCCCTGTGTAGGTAACGGCAGGAATGTGCCAGGGAGCGTGGTCACTGCCAGGAGGAAATCTGTCCCTTGCTTGGATAAGGGTTAGGAATGCCAGCTGCTGCTGGGGCAGAAGGGGACCCTTGCGGGCACAGCCCTGGAGGCTCCTAGTCCTGTAGCCTTGCGTTGACTCTGCTGTGTTGGGGGCCAGAGCGCTGCAGGCTCTGCAGCCAGCTCTCCAGGCCCAGCGCCCGAGTCCCTGCCTCATCTCCACGGGTCTTGATTCATATGTACGGTGGCAGGGGCACAGGACCCACACAAGCGATTGTGCAGAGGCTAAAGTGCCCCAGGCCCCCTGTGGGGTGTCCCTGCACAGGCGGGGACCCAGCACACAGGAGCTGTGGTGCTTCCTGTCATCACTCTCCGCCATGGTTTAAAATATTCAATTCACACGCAGCAGCAGCTGCTATGTACCTGTGAGGTACAGGCCCGGGGTGCAGGGCGCAGTGTGGATTCGGTCTTGGGGCCTCACAAAGCCCCAGTTGGACCATCGGACCGTGCCAGTCTCTATCTGAGTGCACGGGTGAGACTCAAAGCCCTGGACCCCGGTTCCCGCCACGCAGGTAGGTGACACCAGCTCTGACTGCAGGTGCTCTGACGGGCTCCTCCTCAGCGTCAGGACCTGACAATGCTGCATAGGAAGGGGCACGGTGCAGGTGGGGGGCCCTTTCATTCTCCTTAGGGAGCACCAGAAATGCCAGGCCCCCGGGCGGTTTCCATGGTCACCGTCAAGATGCTGCGCTGGCCGGGTCACAGCAGAGCTCCCCCCGCCAGGGTGGACATCGAAGCCTGTTGGGGTGGCAGAGGGCTTCCTCTCACAGGTGAGGACGCTCCTGCCTGCATCCCAGTAAATCAAAGGTGTCACCCAGCAGGCAGGCAGAGAGGGGACCTGAAGGCAGTGGCAGAGGCAGAGGGAGGTTCTGGAAACAGGGGGGTCTTGGATGGGTCAGGTGGCGCTGCACCACAGCCTGAAGAAGCCCCAGCCTCTCCCAGCTCTGGTCTCCTGCTGGGAGCCCTGTGCATCAATCACAGGTCGGAAAACGTTTGCAGCAGCTTCACTCCCTGCACCTTCCAAGCAGGGACTCAGCTCTGCCCTGTGCCCTCGGCGGCCCTGGCCCTGAGCTTTGCCATTTATGCAGGGCCCAGGAGGGCCTAGGTCAGCCAGCTCTCCCTGACAAGCAAATGTTTGTCGAATGAATAAATGAACAGAAGAATGCACAGTTGTGAGAATGTCACAGGTTAAAGGAAAACGAGGCAATTCTGAGTGAAGCTGTGAGTGAGCACGAACAAGGAAAGCACTTGCGTCTGGTTTTTAAGCAACCTCGAGACATTATTACTCATTACCGCACAGAATTCTAGAAGTTTAAGAGACACTGGGAAAAAGATCCATCCCGGAAGGAAGTGGGAAGCTCCCCGGATAATTCAAGGGTTCGACGGTAATCGCGGGGCCCCGGCTGCCCAGCACTGGGGCAGGGGCTGGGACACTGGCCTGGATGGCCCAGACGCTGTCCTGTTCTGAGGTGCGCTGTGATGAGCTGGTGAGCAGTTTGGAGCCGGAGGGCGTCTGCCAGGACAAGTCTCGTCTCGACAGCAAACCAGGGACTCAGAGCTGTCTCACCTGTCCCCCTCTGTCCCCCATTGTCCTGTATGAAGTGCAGACTCTGAGGGCCTGGCCGTCATCTGACTGCATCACTGGACTTACGGAGCCCGAAAGAGAGAGACGGGGTTCACCTGCGCCTCGGCCAGAACCATTGCTCGGGTTCCCCGTGCTCTCGTTGTGGGCGAGGCAGGACACTAGACCCTTCCCGTGCTCCGTCTCCTGCCACCCTTTCGGCCTGCACTGAGGCTTACAGAGGTCACTCTGTCCAAGGTCTGCCCGAGGTGCGGAGCCCACCTGGCCAGCCACACCCTGTCGCCACCTGGGCAGGTCTGGATTTCCCACAGGTCAGCTGTGGGGGAATGGTGGATCAGGGCTGGCCACGTCCCATTGTGGTGGCTGTTGGTCCACGTGCAGGGTGGCCTCACCGCGGGCCCAGCTCCACCCGAGACCCCGGGAAGGAGGGTGAGCTCAGAAAGAAAGCAACTTGTGACACCGCCTGGCTCTGAGGGGCCGAGCATCTTGGAAAGCTTCGATGCAGGTTCCTGGCAATGTCCCCGGGGGTGCCAGCTCACGTATTTTAAGAAACAAAAATCGTTAAAGAAGTTAGGACCACGGAGAGGCTGTAAATGTAAAATATTGGTCGTTTGACAGTGCAGTCCTAGCAGAGTTCATTGACGAGCCAGAATCTTGTCCAAGAAATTAATCACCACGTCCTCCCCGATCCCCCAGGCCCGCTCCCAGGATGTCAGCTCCAAAGTTCGAACCTGGCTACGGAGCTGGCGATGCACCAGGACCGCGGCTGCCCCGGCCAGGAAAGGAGGAAGGGCCAGCAGGACAGGAGAGAACTGGGCTCCTGTCCACAGCGCGGCCCGGGAGATCCAGCTCCCCAGGCGGGGCCGAGCCTGCTCCTCGGGGTGTCAGCAGCCTTGATCACGCCAAGGGCCTCCACTTAGTGTCGCTCTGGAGGAGGGACACCGTGTTACTTAGCGCCTGTTAGACGCTCATGTACTGTGGGGACACATAAATGGTTTAGGCCACAGAGGTGGCACCTGCTTCTCCCTTTGTCCTTCCTTGGCCCAGCACAGCAAGTACCACCACCCCTTCGAGTTTCTATTCTGCCCTCTCCCCTTTGTGGGGTGAGCTATAGAGAAAGCCTGTAAAGTGTCGGGGACCCTTGCCTCCTCCAATCCTATTAAAGCCATTGGGCACCTCTCTTCTGCTCAGATAGATTCAAGTTGGTGGCGGGCGAGGCTGGCCTTGGCCGGGGACCCAAGGCCCCACCCCACCCCAGCCCTGCCGTCCAGGGTGACTTCCAACAAAGCACCTCACCCTCCCGCCTCCCCTCCTCGGCTGGGAGACGGGGAGGGTGACATTGAACGCCAGCTCTGGGGCGTCCTAAGGGTTAACTAATTAATGGTCCGAAAGTGCTTTGAAAAAATAAAGTGCTGGATAATGGGAAGGGCAATTATGTTGGGAGAAACTCCTAATTTGGCTGGAATTGATGTTAATGATAAAGTATCTGAAACATGTACCAGGCAGGCGTGATTGTATTTTATATGACAGAGAGAGGCGCTGGCACGCAGGGGACACGGAGAGCGGTTAATTTGGTTAAATAAAGTGAAAGATAAAAGCATTGAGGACACCCCAGGACGCGGGGTTTATCTGGACTCCCTGTAACGCCTCGGGATCGGATGAGGCCCTGGACACTTGTTTGTTTGTTTGTAACGGGAAGAAATGAGAAATGCTAGTTTTATGGCTCCAAAAGAGGCAGAGGACAGCAGACGTGGTTGGGGGTCCTGGGCCTCAGAGCCGTGGTAGGCTGTGCTCCCGGGAAAGAGTCGGGGTCTCCTGAGAATCAAGGCGGCCAGGACATCCGGGGCCCAGGGGACTTACGGGCGTCAAAGCACTCTCTCCTTCCGGGAGGAGAAACTGAGGCCCCAGGAGAGGAAAAGAGCCAGGGAACGGGCGTCTGCTGAGCACTCTCGGCCAGGCTCTGTGACAGACACTCTCATCCCCTGGAATCCTTAAAGCAAACCTGTAGGTGGGAACCATTTTCACCCCGTTTTTATAAACGAAGGAACTGGAGGATCCGAGAGGTGAGCATGGAGCTCAAGGTCACACAGCCAGCAGGTGGTGGGGTGGGGACCAGCTCGGGCTGCCTGTCGCTGGGAGGGAAAATCCGTGATGGTGACCTTGGGTCTAATCAAATGCTCTTCAAACCCACGCTCGTGTCTCCTTGACGGGGCTCTGCAGAGGCAGGAAAGCAGGACACAGGGGTGGCCCTGCGTGGGGTGCCCAGGGTGGCAGGGTCCTGGGGCGGATGTGGGCCACACGGCGAGCCCCAAGAGACAGCACCAGGTTGCCCCAAGAGAGACGAGGTGCCTCGGATTCTGGAAGGGCTGGGAGGTCCCCACAGGTCCAGATTAGTATTCAGTATTTATAATATTTCCATAATGGTAAAACAAAAGAAAACAAGCAGGGAGAATGCATTTTTAATCACCAATCATTTCTCTTTGTTTGTTGTGAATGAACAGCGAGGTGAAATAGTATTTCATAATCACCCCATTCGAATTCTCCTCCCCACAAAGCACCGAGAAATCTCTAAATAAAATAAATAAACAAGCCAAGACCTTAAAATAAATTCCAGAGGGCAGAGTGCTGCGTGTGGGCGACACAGCTGTGGGAGGCGGGGGCTGGGGGGAAGGCAGGGGGACAAAGGGCCTGGCCTTGTCAGTGCCGATCCGGCTCTGAAGACCACGAGGCGGGTAAGACAGCCAGGTGACAGCTACCAGGACCCAGAGCGGGGCAGAGGGGCACAGCCTCCCACGCTTCACGCCCTCTTTTTATTTTTTTCTTTGACACTTAGCTAAATCGCCCAGGCTGAGCTGGAAGTTGAGATCCTCCTGCCTCAGCCTCCCAGAGTGCTGGGATCACAGGTGCGCACCATGCACCCGGCTTCATTGTGCGTGCAGAGTCTTCCGGTCTTCAGCCTGTGACTAGAAACCAAAGGAAGTTCTGTTCCCTGGCCCCTGGTGATTCCCCATCCCCGGAAGCTTCTCAGCACCTTGCCTGCCTGCATTGGAAATGCTTCAGCCTTTTTTCACTGACAGAAGAAGACATCACCACACAGAGAAATAAAAGGGGGCCAGCACCAGCCCCTGCCAAGCGGGGGCCACGGACTTAGTGGGTTTGTCATGCTCTCAGGAGAGCGAGCTCTGCCTTTTCTGCTTGGCTCTAGGTGTCTTTGAGAAGCCTCCTAAGCCACTAGATTTTATTCACTGATTTTTCCAATATTTTTTTTTGAGGTACACAAACACTGGCAGGCCTTTAGGCCCCAGCAAGGAGCTTGACACGTGGGTGCGTTCACCAAATGTTTGCTGGAGATAGGGATGGATGGGCCATAGACGGATGCTGAACCAATGTGTGGATGGATGGACAAGAGGCCAGACAGATGAATGGACAGTCTGGGTGGATGAATGGACGGATGGATGAATGGATGGCAGGCTGATCCTGATTGGTAGGAAAGGCCACCTCTGCACGGCCGGGTGCCAAGTACAGTGTGGCCTTGTCCATACTGGGGGGATATTGGTTTATGTTACGTCCTCTACGCCCCTTAAAGCACCCTGAAAACAAAATCACTTTCCAGCAAAGCACGACCCCCAGAAGAAACTTAGGCAGAGGTCTCCGGACGAGAGCAGGTGAGATCTCCGTTTTCAATAAATCACGCGGTGGAAAAGAACCGGGCAGGCTCTGAGGACACAGCTCAGCTCCACTCGGCCACTAACCTGCGACAGCGGCTCGGGGACAGCGAGGCCTCATCTCTCGGGGTCTCGGTCTCCCCTCTGCACTGTTGTCTGAGTGGGGGTAGCAGGAAGCATCAGGAAGCCGGGCTGGATGTTTCGGCCTCCGCCAAGGCCCACGCTGCCTCTGAATCCTATTGAAAAAATAATAAAAAGGTAATTACTTTGTCATTACTGAACACTGGTTTGTCTTTTTATTTTTTTTTTAAGGCCTGACCATAAATAACCAACCCATTACCCTTTGGAGTGGACACGCACATCCATACAGGACCGGCACTGGCCACGCTGGCCCTCCAGTCCCTTCCTTCTCCACGCTGTGACACATCACACACACGTGTGCACTTGCCTGCACACACATACACATGTGCCTGCACACACTTTTTGAAGCATTCTGGTAAATGTCACGAATAGTAATAAGTTATTACCCATGAATCCACGCTGCATGAATTATTTCATGGAATTCTCTGTTGCTATTTTACAGATGGGGAAACTGAGGCTTGGGGGAGCGGGAGGGCAGACTTCAGTTACTAGCAGAGCTAGGCTTTGAATCCAGAAACCCTAAGGCCACTACAGCAATGATTTAAACACCGATTTCCAGAGCGGGAGGAGCACAGCCGCGGTGCGGGGAGCCGGGCGTCAGGCGGGCGGTCTAACCGGCCTCGGGCAGGGGCGCGGGGAGGAGGGCTGCCTGGAGGAAGCCACGCCAGTTTTGCCTTCCGTGGGCGAGGGGGAAGAGGAACGGCTTGGAGAGGTGACGCGGGGACGATTTGGAGGCCTGGGCAGCCCCTGTGACCAGAGCAGGGCTGGGGTGGGGACAGGCACAGCTGCAGAGGCGGTGGGCAGGGCCATCCGCATATCCGGGCCACCTGGCACAACTGGACAGTCCTCCCCACCCACACGCAGCTACCTGGCGCTCCTGCCCGTGACACGAGGCACCTCATCAGCAAAACAGCTCCTTCCTGCCTGCCTGCCTGCCCGGCCCCGCCCTCCCTGGGCCGCAGCCCTGGGCTGCAGGTGGCGCCTGCCCAGGTGCCCGGCGTCGCCGGAGGAAGCGTGGCCACTTCCGGGGGCCGGGGGCCAGCTTCCCTATGCCCATGGCCTGGCCACACCAACCTCAGGCAGGATCCGAGTCCTGGGACACAGCTGCAGACCCACCAGGGGTCCACGATGCTGCTGCTGGCAGAGCCTGTGCCATGCCAGACTGCAGCGAGGTGGGAGGCTGGAGGGGTCCCGGCTGCCTGGCACCACCCGGTGGGTGCGGTACGTGGCAGAGCCCACCAGGCCACGTGGCATGGCTGTTGTTTCCAGGACAAGTGGAGAGCGGGAAGGCGGGTCCTTTGCCTCTTCCATGACGGGGTTTACCTGGTTGAGCAGGGTCCTGGTGCCAGGCCTGCCCCGCCCTGGCAGGCGTGGGAGGGGTTAGGTGTTGGCCCGTGGCTCTTTGGGTAAGAGGTGATGTCAGCGGGCGGCCCTGCCCCTCACCTGGCTGCACCTCTGTGTACTCAGTGTCTGTCGCCAGCGTGCAGAGCACAGCTGAGCCTCCGTGGCCCCAAACCCTCTTTGAAGGGACAGAGAGACCCAGGCGTGTGCAGTGCACATTCCCGGCTCCCGTACAGATGTCGTGGGAACACCCTGTGCACGCGCATCCTCAGCTCTCCCTGTGGGGCGCTGGGGGCACAGAGCACTGGCCTGGTGGGTTCACTCAATTCATTCTTCACATTTCTAAGTCCGATTCACACCCAAATACCTGACTGCTGGATCGTGGTTTTATTTTCTCTCTCTTACTTATATTTGTATTGCTTTGTGTCTCCTGAATTATTTGCAAGAACATATTTATCCTTTGTTTCACCCCAGAAATCTAAAACTTTTTTGTTGTTTTGCTTTGCTTGAAGAGAAGTGGTTCAGAGGACTTTAGGCGAGAAGGTGCATTGCAGAGACCAGAGACCCTGGGACTGCAGTCGCTCCTACGAGGAAAATATTAGTCACCTGCGAGTCCTCTTGTTTCCAGGCGGGGTAAACATAAATACCAGGGAAAAAAGTCAATTAATTAGGACAATGTAGAAAAGGGGAAGGTTGAACCGGAGAGAAAAACAGCGTGTCCCTTGCTTGGAGCTGAGCTGAGAGATGAGACGGGAATGAAATCAGGTCTGGGGAAAACAGGTAGTATTTATGGCATAGAAATCCCCAAGGCTTTATGCTGAGAGACGTTTCAGAAGGTGCAGACGGGCAGGGGGAGGGGGCCAGGCTCTGTTTGGGCTGGAAGACAGGCGGATGGATGCCCGCTTTGGCTTTGCCGCCATGGGCTGGGTTCAGGCCCAGGACCCTGAGACGGGCAGCCGGGGAACCGTGAGGGGCTTGCTCTGGACTCCAGTCCCTGAGTCCTTGTCCCTGTCCCTGCCGAGGCTTGAGTCTCAACAAGGCCACTCAAACCTTGAGACGGATCCTGCTTGTGGCCAGCGTGGTTCTAATAAGGATTCATTACTGAAATGGCAGGCTCTTTCACCCATTAAATTAGCAGAGAGAGAGAGAGAGGGAGAGAGAGAACCGAAGTGTTGGAGAGCAAAGACAAAAGACACGGTCGGCTCTGTCACCACCGCGGGAAGGAACGCAGCCCGGCAGGAGCGATCTAAGCCACGAGGCTCAAAAACTCCGAAATGAGTGCATAGCCCGCTCTATCAGCTTCACATCAAGGAGCGTGCGCAGTTATTTACGGGCCAGGGAATTCATCAGGGTTATTTATAATAATGAAAAGAATTGGAAACAAGTTTGATGTCCGAAATTTCCAATAGTGAGGGGCTGCTCAAGTAAATTACAATCAAACTCTCCAATGCAGCCGTTACAAAGCGCACGGTAGATTGCATGAGCGGAGAGATGTGTGCACGCTTGGTGTACGAGGCAGGCTGAGGGAAAGGTGAGCCGGTGTCTGCGTGTGATCCTGGTTTACACAGAAACACAGAGCGGGGAGAGAGCGAGGGAGAGAGCACAGAAACCTACCTGGGAAGACTGGCAGTAAATACATGAAATCAACAGCAGCGATTATTCACGGGGACTGAGGGATTCGGGGTGATTTACATTTGCTTCTTTCCGTTTACCTGTGTTTTCTGAATTTTCCACAGCACATGTGTATTGTGTGTGGAGCCGGAAAGAAATAACTATGTGTTTTGCGAAAAACATGAGAATTTTGTAAAACAACTTAGGCTGGCTGGCATTGGAGAATCGGACGCTCCCCGCGACGTGCCCAAGAGAGAAATTCTGAACTAAAATGAATGAACTCAGCTTTTTTACAAATTTTAATTACAACTTGCCCAGTAATCAGCACCATCACTTATCCCAAGCACTTGTTCAGTGACTCTGCCCCGAAGCACTCATTGGCAGTGAGGGCTAGGCCGGGACCAGGAGTCCCCCCAAAGCAGACTCCTCCCAGGGGAACCTCGAGGAGGGCACAGTCCAGGCAAGGTGCACCGTCCGTCACTTTTCGGTGATGACCGAGAGCCTGTGCCTTGCCCCAAATCAGACTCGAAGGACGGATTCACCCTGCCTCCTCCTCCTCCTGCTCTCTAGATGCAATTCTTAGTCAGGTTTCTTCTCTTTGGGAACATCCGGAAGAGGTACAAATGTCAGGGACTGTGACTTTGGTTCCCTTCCGGTGCAAGCAGCTGGCCCTGGGGGAGTGAGACTGCCCACCTCAGGCTTGGGTGAATGATTCCCTGTGCCTCAGTCCTCGTCTGTAGAATGGGTATGCTCCCTAGCATAGCTGCCGCCCACTGTTAAGTGGGGCACAAGGGCTCGGCGTGGTGCCTCCCACCTGACAACTGCTCAATGAATATCGGCTATTGGCTGTGGACATGCAAACAGGTTGTGCTTTCCTTCGCCGCCTGAGGACTAAAAACAAAAACATTATGACAGGAAAGCTGAGCTGTGATTCCTTTCCAGGTTTCCCCAGTGGTGCCCAGCGAGACTGGCATGTGGGTGCTATTGCTGCTCCACGGTCCATCACCGGCGCCTCCTGGGTGCCAGGCATGGTGCTTGGCTTCTCGGCTTCTGGGACTGAGGTGCAAAATCCACACTCAGAGCGGGAAAAGGCCATGTGTGTGTGAGTGCGTGTGTATGTGTGTTCATGCACGTGTTCCTTCGAGGCGTAGAAATGGGACAGACTCGTGATCACCTGGGTCCTCCCCCTTGGGCAGCTCACTGCTGGGTGACAGTTCCCTTGGCCACCATGGACCCCCACTGAGTGCCAGGGAACCTAGGCCTGGCCAGCCCGAGACTACACTCTGGGACTCCTGGGTTGCAGCAGCTCCTCCTCCCTTCCCAAATCCTGAGAACTTTCCAGTGATCCCCTCAAGCACAGGCAGGGACTTACTACCTTGGTCAGTGCCAGATTCACAGAGCCTGCTGTGTGCCACTGTTGGAGGGCTGAGAGCATCAGACACTTCCATTCTCCCAGGGGCAGCCAGGGGACCTTCATTTTAGATGCTGAGACAGGGCAATGTAACGAAGACTAGGAGCAAGAGGCCCTGAGGAAGGGAGAGAGGAACAGTGTGATTTTGTGGGAAAGGAGCAGTTGATGAAAAGAGTGTTTTCAGGCAGCCAGAACAGCAAGTGCAAAGGCCCTGGGGCAGGGATGAGTTGGGTGTTTTCTAGAACGCAAGCAGCAGCATGTTGGGAGCAACAGGACTGAGGGGTGGCCCCTTCTTGCAGACCAAAAAGACTTGGGATTCATCCTGAGGGCAGATCAAGAGATGCTAAATGGGTCAAAACAGGAAGAAAGTAGCAGCTCCCAGTCCCTTTATGGGGAGAAGATGGGAACCCAGTGGTGGAGGAGGAATCCACCCCCTACACCCAGCGAGGCTGGAAGCTGTTCTTGTGGTGTGGCACCCTTTCCCAGCTATTTGCTTTACTTTCTTCTGTTTGAATTGGGCACAGAGGCTGGAATCAAAAGGAGCTTTTACCATTCACCTCCTCCAATGTCCTCCTCTGTCCTCTAGGCTCTAGGTTGGCCGCTGCTGGGGCGGGGGGCAGCCTTCCTACCAGGGGAGCCACCTACAGAAGAGGTGGGAAGACATGGAGGAGGGGTGCCAAGCAATGAGAAAACCCAGAGGGAGAAAGAAAGGAGTTCATGCAAGTTTGGGGTGAGATGTGACAGCTGGTGGCCCTGAAGGGGGCCGGGAGGAGGTTATTGTGGAAAGGGCATGCACCTGATAGGAGAGAAGTTGAGCCTTAGGGTGGGAAGGGCGGGCCTGCTTCCTGGCCAGCCTCTGGAGACCCAGTCCTGTCCAGCGGGGGTCTGACCCCACCACTTGGAGGGGTTCGCCCTTCCCTGGTCTCGGCAAACACCTGCTCAATGAAGGAAGGAAGGAGAGAGAGAGAGGAAGGAAGAAAGCAAGAAAGGAAGAAAGAAAAAGAGAGGACAGGAACAACTGAGAAGTGGAGGGACACTGGATGTCCCCAGGAGTGGTGACATTTACTGGCACTCAGCGATCAATATCTTGGCCCAGGCCCTTTTCCTGCATTAACTTATTTTAGACTTCCAACAACCCCAGGCCATAGGTGCTACTAGGATCCCATTTTACTGTTGAGGCGACTGAGGCACGGAGGGGTCAAACGCCGCACTGAAGGTCGCCCGGCTGGTGGATGGCTGGGATCTGAACCCGAGTCTAAGCCGATATCACGTCTTTACACTGCCCCGGGAACGGCAGAACAAGAGCCAGAAAATCCACTTCACTACCTTAGAGACCGTGGTGCCTCGGTTTCTCCCTCTGTGGGATGTTGGGGTCCAGCTTGGGAACCTCGGGGGCTGTACGTTCTGCTGAGTCATCAGGGGCAAGGATCTTACAGGTGGTGGATGACACAGCCCTCGGGGACTGAGCGGGCCTTTGGTGTGGGCCAGAAGTAGACAGCTACAGGATGAGGTTCATGGGGGCTGCCAGTGATTGATACACCGCCACTTCCCGTGACTGCTTGGCGTAAGAAGGGGAGACCCTGAAATGAAAGCCCACTTCCCAGCTCTGCACAGAAAAATCCTGAATTGATCCCCAGGCCTATTCCCAGGAGAAAGGAACTGGGTTTTGTTGTTGTTTGTTTTGTTTTCTGTCTGACCGGATTCTCTCCCAATCATGAATGAATACTTGATCCCTCCTTGCCCCAGTGTCAGGGGACAGGAAAGCTCTGCCATCTCAGGGCCAGAAGGCCACCACAGAGCTACGGTTTGGAGATGAGCCGGACACAGTGCACTGAAGAAGTAATGCCACCAGCTGGTACAGCGGTGTGCGGCTGGGGACCCCAGGCTGCTCTGCTGGGGGGACCCGGTGCCCCGCATGACTGCCCCAGACACACATCTTCTAGGATGCATCTCATGCCTGCCTTAAACTGGAAAGTAGTTTTTCCAGAGGCACAGTCAGAGCTGCAGGGCCTCAGGGCTGATGCAGGACACTGGGCTCAGCCTCGTGTGGCCATCGCAGGTCAGCTGGGAAGTGGGCAGGGTGGGCATGGGGCGTTTTCGCCCGTGGAATATCAAAGGCCTCCTTCAAACATGCTATGGGCCACGATGGGGCAGGGGATCGCCTCTCCCAGGACTCTCTTTCTCCTGCTGCCTTGTTCCATTTGTTTGTGGATCGTTTCACTTGGCAATATCACTCGTTTTAATGTTCATCATCAGCTACTCCCCCCACCCCCTCCACCCCCACCCCGTGGAAGGGTCATTCTTGCTCTCTCACGGATTTCTTGCACAAGAGGCTGAATGAAAAAAAAAAAAAACTTGCAAAGAACAAATGCAAAGAAGATAGCAAACAGCGAGAACATTACGTTCCGGAGTTTGAGGATTTTGACATCCTGACTTGCAAAAAACAAAAAAGAGTCAGTTCTTCCGTGGACAAGTGGGAACCAAGCTCAAGGTCTCTCGGGGGTCGGAACAGGTGAGAAGTAACGCCCGCCCATCCATCCCTCCTCTCCTCTGCCCAAGCCTGGACTCCACTAGGTAGAGGGAAATGGAAATATCTCGGAGAGGCAAAAGGGAGCGGCGCGCTCAAACGCTGCTCGAAGGCCGCATCCGAGGCGCGCGCACGCCGAGCCCGGCGGGGCGGTGGGTGGGAAGAATCCGGGAGGGAAGGTCTGGGGGTGTGAGGGTGGAGCGGAGCCGGGCCCCACGATCCGGCCCGGGTTTTGCATGCCACCCACTCGCCCGCTCGGCCGCGGAGAATTCCATAATCACAGCCGGCGAGAGCGGAGACTGGGAGCGAAAAATCCGGGATCCGGCAACTTTGGGCAGCGCATGCGCGCCCACGGCGCTCCATCCCAAACACACACACATTTTTCCCCCGGACTTGGAAAGTCACCCAAAGCCGCCCCAAGTGCAGGTAAGAGACTCGGCGCTCCCTCCGCCGCGGCCCCCCCACCGCCCCCGGCTCCGCGGGCCTCCCGGGGCGCCTCCCCGCCTCGCCCCCTGTCCCGTTGCAGCCCCCCCACCCCCAGGGCTGCCGCTTGCAACCCGGAGCGGGCGAGCGAGCGAGCGAGCGAGAGAACCAGCCAGCCTGCGAGCGGCGGCTGCCACCCAACTCCGGCCGCGCGGGAGGCAGGGGGCACGGAGGACTGGCACCCGGGCGCGGGGCGGCGCGTCGCCCGCGGTGGCCAGGGGAATGCCCGGCGCGCGACTCCGGGGAAGGGGAAGGCTGCTGCTTCTGGGGGTCACTTACTCCAACTGAGGGGGCGGCAGGGTAGGGGAACAGAGGGGGAGGTGCCAGGCGCCAGTGCAGGACTTTGCGAATAGGGTGGGGGCGCCCCCCGCGCTGTGGGCTGGGGGGGGGGAGGGCAGGTGCTCGCCAATACCGGGTAATCGGTCCTTCCATATCGCCCCCCAACTGCAGGGGGGGGGTCATGCGCTCTCCAGGGCACACAAGGAGGCAGGGGTGAGGGGCGCCCGGGGTGACTTTGCAAGACTTTGCCCAGGGGAAGGGGTGGGTGGGGATCTCTTCCAGCCGGCTCTTGGGCCCCGACAACGGGGTGTGCGTGCTGCCGGCAGAGGTAGGCGGCGTTCGCCTAGGCGCAGGGTGCCCAGGGGTGCGCTGGTGGGAAAAACGAAGGCGAGAGGTTTCTTGGATGGGGGGAGCGGCGCCCCCTTTTTCATCTGTGCCTGGGAAGTTTATCTCAAGTGCGCTGCTCGAGGCGCGGCAAGTGGTGCTCCTCACTCGCGCCCCCACCCCCGGCCTCCCCGGAGCAGGCTGGCAGCCCTGGGCACCGAGTCAGAGCACCGGCTCACAGCTGCCCGGCTGCTGGCCGGAGCTCGCCGGGGGCTGAGGAAAAGTTCCGGGGAGTTTCGGCGGTGGCTGTGCGCGGGGAGCGAAGTTGCGCCGGGAACTTGGGGCTGTGGGCTGGCAGGCGGGCGGTGGGCGGGCGGAGCGCTGCGCTCCGGGGGCTGTGCAGCTGCGGGAGACGGTCCGGCGCGGGGTCGGGGTCCCAGCTGGGCTGAGGGCTACCTGGGGGCTTCGTGCTTGGGGCGGAACCCTGAACCCAAGGGCGCAGGGTCGAAATAGGCACTTTGTGGAGGGCAGAAAGAAGAGTGACTTGTAGGGGCGCTGGGGACACCAAAGAGGAAATAGCTGGGCGCCGGGTCACCCCGGCGGGCTTCACGGTGAAGGAGCGCACGGTAGCCGGCCGTGTCGGGAAGTGGGCTTGTCAGGGGGTGCGCGGGAATGAGGGATCGGGCCGGCACCACAGTCACGGAGCTCCCGGGGCGAGGGGCCGAGTCGTGCGCCCGGGGTGAGCCGGCCGGGCGGAGCGGCAGCCGGTTTATTTTTACTCGGTGGCATTTGCAGAATGTGCAGCTGATGACCGGCGGCCGCCAGGAAGTTTTGCTTTCTGTTCTTTCTCTCTTTCCGAAGCCAGCGCGGCCGGGAGCCGGAGGGCTGGGGAGCCCGGCCCGGGAGGGGAGGGCAGGGGGCGCCCGCTGGGCTGGCGAGGTGCGGGCAGGGCCCTGCCGGGGCGGCGGGCGGGGGGCTGCGGGGCGCGGGCGGGCGCTGGGCCGCTCGGAGCTGAGGGGCGAAGGTCTGTCCCCAGCGCTGGAAGCCGCTCCGCGAGGGGAACAGGTGTATGTGCCGTCAATCACAGCGGGAGGGACACTTTGGGGGCGTAGATTAAGATCATAATAATAGATTTTTCTCTAGGGGGTGGGCGCAGACTCTTCTTCCAAGTCCTCCTCGACCCGGGTCCGGAGCCGGGGAGGAGTGGAGCGCGAAGCGAGGCGGGGAGCCGCTTCTCCGGCGCACAAGTTTCTGCAGACCCGGCCTCGGCTCGGGCAGCGGGCCTGGGAGCCGCTTGCAGTCCCGCCGGGCGGGTGCGGCGCGAGTGCCCGTGCGTAAGGCTTGTCCGGGAGGCAGCGGCGAATACACCCCTTCTCCGAGCTCGCCCAAACCCAGCTGGATCGCCCAGCGGGGCGCCGCAGGGGTGCGCGTCGCCGCTCCAGCCAAGTCTGGGGGCGCGGCCCTCCTGCTGTGCGGTTGTCGTGCCGGCCGACCTGGCACCCTCGCAGGGGTGTGGGGGGCAAGACCCCGGGTAGTAGCCAGGCGAAGTTGGTAAATTTAGGAAATCTCGGAACTGGTACAGGCGCGCGATGAGAGCGCGCGAGGGAACTGGAAAACAGATTGCAGAGGAATATTGGTGCCCCCCCCCCCGCGCGCACACACATGCACACGCACACACGCGCGCGCGCGCACACACACACACACACACACACACACCCTGCCGTCCTAAAGGGAGCTGTCCGGGCTGAGCAGGAGCAGCTGCGCCGGGCGTGAGGAGGGGGTATCTGGTCCCCCGGGGCTGCGCCGGGCTGCGCTCCACGTGCCCGGAGGGGGCGCTGGGCCGTTCGGCGCCTGAGCGCAAAGCGCCGGGTTTGCGCCCTGGTGGCGGCGAGGAAGTGCGTCTGGGGCGGTCGTCGCTACCCTGGCCAGCTCTAGCGACCCCTGCCACCTCCCCCGACCCCCAGCCGCTTTCTCATTTCCCAAACTTTGGCTTCTACGGCCTGCTCCTCCTTGGAGCTCTGCCCTCTCCAGAACGGGTGGCGGTGTGGGGACCTCTGCTTTCCCCGCTTCCCAGCGGCGGCCACGGTCTCTCTCCCCGGAACCCGGCGGATCGGACAGCCGCCTCCCCCATGCTGTTAGCCACCTTAGAGGCGGTTGACGAGAGTTTATGGGGAATATTGTTGAACTTCAGTAATCGGGTTTCCAGCGATCTTATGCCTCCTGTTTAATTTATTAGACTAGTTATTCAGTCTGTTGATGATAATCTGTTGCTGGTTTCTATGGAGATGTTAAACTGATCTCTTTTAGAAATCAAACTCCATATGCACTAAAACGTTTAAAGGGGCAGTGCTTTCCTCTTTTTTCCCTCCCCCTTTCTTTGTTTTATTTTGTTTTTTAGACTTTGCACCTTGCCGAGACTTGGTGTCTTATTCTGAGTCTCAGGCGTTTTATTTCCTTCTTACGAAGTAGAAGAGTCCCGAGGACTGACGTTTGGTGGCAAGTACAGCTTATTATGGCTAGCAGAAGGCGCAGGCTTTGATCCCTAACTTGCATCATTATTTAAAACAGATCATTTCACCACCACCCCTTTCCCCCCCATACAGAAGAGCAAAATTCTTTCAAGATCAAAGAATTCAATCTAAAAAAAACCCCAACTATTGTTTAAAAATATAGGAAAGTCAGTTAAATATGAACCGCCCCTTTATATCTGCTCCCCTTGTGTTGAAAGGATTTTTGAATAAGAAAAACAAAACTCAGCTCATTTTTTCATACTTATTAATAGTTTATCTTGCCTCCCCCCCACTTTAATTTAAAAAGAAGTTCAAAGTTAGATTTCTCTGCCTGTGGGGGTTGAGGTATATTTGCTTCTCTTTTAGATCCTGACCATCTGTTTTTGGGAAATTAGCCTCTGGGAAGAAGGGAAAAGGAGTTTTTACTCAAACTTAATGGAGTGCTTTAATTTTGGGGGGGTGGGGAGGGCAATCACTCAAACATTTTAAAGTCCTATTTTCCTTGTTTATAAATTTGAAGACTATAGGTGTCTGGGATGAGGACAGATCATTTTTCTTCCTTTTCCCCTTTTCTGGGTGGGTGTTTTGCAGTAGACTTGGGACTTCTGTGAAGGTAGCGAGGTGCACTGCCTTCAGACAGTAAGGCAGAGAAACATTGATCTTGGTTTGTGACACCCTAAAAACTGCGGTCCCACTCTGGCTCAGATATGTATCGTGCTGACAGATATGATGCAAAACCATTGCATTTCCTAATGACCCTGTGGGACTAAGCTGTAGGGAAGACCATTGAATGCATTTTTAATAATAAAGTAAGGCCCAGGTTCCATTTTCACAGAGGTAGGGGGAGTGTAGGTCTCTCTACAGAGCGGGGGCTTTTGAGTAGACTGCTTGGCTTCTTTACCTAGGACCCCCCCCTTCACTTTTCCATTTACTTTGGGGAGGGGCAAGCCATATACAGGGCATTTGGCTTTCATAAATAAATTTATATCTGGTCAGAAGGTCCAGTGCTAAATAAGAGCACACTTAAAAAAAAAAAAACCAACCTCCAGACTCCACCCCTGCTATGGGAAATAAAACAGTCAATACTTGACTCTCCTCCTCCTTCTGCTTCTCTTTTATATTATTTTACTTTTGGGGGGGTGGAGCGGTTGTTGCTTTTCAGCTCAGATGAGAGAGGAGCCATTCCTATTATTTCCCTCTTTGCTATATTTTAAATTTTTGTTTGATTTGGATTGCAAACAGAGCCAGAGGCTTAGGAGTAAAAAGAGCACTGTGGCTTTAAACTCAGGAGTTTGCATATTCTCCTTGTATCTTTCCCCTTTGCTAATTATTGTGTTGTTTTCAGAGCAAATATGTCATATCCATGGCGACCGGGCAGGTTTATTGTCTTTCTGAAGCAATAGCTCACATAAGTAATTAATGACTTTCTTTTTTTTCCTCTGGCTTAGGTTAAACAGATCATTCAAGGAAAGTCATATCTCTTCTCTTCTCTGTCTCTATACCTCTCTCTTTTCTCTCTCCCCCCCTCTTTCTCTCTCTCTTTTTTAGCCCAGTGACATAAGAACATGAGTTAGAACACCAAAATACTTTAACCGAGCAACCAACAGCTTCTTCTCCTTCATTTCTTCGAGAAACCCAAGTGTCACCTCCAGCAGTCCACGCAGGCTGGCAGTCCCTCTGCCAGGCAGCTGTGTGGGGACGAGGGAGGTGTTGGCATGGCCGGGAGGAACCTGGAGGAATTTGCTTTTCAGGTTGGGGGAAGCAGTCCAGAATGAGCATTTCTCCTGTATTTAGCAGAATTTAATCAAATTGTTTACAGGAAAGAATTAATGAGTTGGTAGTGATGTGCACCCCCAACCTCCCTGCTTTTTCCCGGCTAGTTAATTGGAAGACAAAGTTTTTCTTTGACAGTCACCTTCAGCTTCAGCTTTCTCTGGCCTTTGTCTGGGGTGCATTTTCCTGGAAAAGTAGCTTTTGGAAGCCTCCTGGTTAGTATGTCTATGGTAGGGGTTTTTGTTCTTGTTCCCTCTTCCCCTTTAGATCTCCAGACTGAAGCTGGTTTCTCCTTCTTAGGAATCAGCTGCTGTGATGATTGACCATGACTTGGGATTTTTTTTTAACTTTTCTTCTATGGAGAGAAGAGGGTCCCCTCAGGATGTAAAATCCTCCAGAGGCCACATCTCCCTTCAGTGTGTTGCCACAATAATGGGGAAAGTAGACTGATATTTTTTTTTCCTTTTTTGAAAAATCACCTTTTTATCTTCTGCCCTTTTCAAATGGACCTTTGCTAGCAAGAATCCTTATGATGTCACCCTTTAACTTTAGAAATGTGCTAGATTTCCTGCCTGCATTCACCAACAGCCCTTTACTTTCCCCTAGAGATGTACATTAAGCACATTTATCCTCTTCCCCCCTTTTAAGAATTTCACCTATAGCCAAGGTTTTACGTGTGTCCTTCAAAAAGGGGAATGAGATAGAAAAAGCATTTCTGCTGTCCTCAGACACAACTAAAAAGAATATTTTCCTTCTCCCTGAACTAAGTAAAAAAGAAAAAAAAAAGGCCGTGAGTTGACGGGATGAATCTTTAGGCTCTTGGCATTGACAATAAAAATACAAAGCGGAGAGATTTATTTGGTATCTGTTTTCTGAAGAGGAGAAGGGAAGGCCAGGCGAGTCAGATGCTGAGACTCCAGCGGAGTTGTAATTGAGCGCGTAACCTCTTGATGTCTATATCAGAAAAGCAGACGTGAGCAGAGGGGACCGTGCACAGGCAAACAAGCCTGGGAGAGGAGGGAGCTGTGGGGGAGAGAGCCACAGAGAGAGGGAGATAGATTTAATTTATAGACATTTTAAAAACCGTAATTTCATTAGGACCTGTTCTTCCCTTTCTCTGAAGGGCAGCCCGGCAGACCGATAAGGCCAGTCCCTCTGCCCGGGTTGCGTGGTGTAGGTTTGCTGGGCACGAGCCTCCCGCATCCTCGCCAGTTCCGGGGGCTGTCTGCTGGCTTCCTGATTTTCAAATGACAAAGCCCTGGATAACCAAAAGTCAGGTTCAGCTCTGGCTGCTGCCCTGTGATCCCTCCTCTGAGTGCCACCCTGTTGTGCGACTGAGTCTGTCTCCTGCCTGGGCGGTGGCATCTGGGTGTCTTCCATCTGTCACCCGGCTGCTGCAGTTCCAGCAGCGAGAAGCCACTGGGAGGAGCACCCCCCCACTGCGTCCCCCGCTTCAAGTTCACCAAGTTAAGTTGCTGTGGTTCCGAGGCCACAGCTTGGGGAAGAAAAGCGAAAGCCTGTCGTAAATTCTGCAAAAATTAATCAACCGTTTAAGAGCTGCACGTTAACGAGGTTCCGCGGGCAAGCTGGGCCCTTCTGTTCCCCTGTCCAAAGTCCGACAGAGTGAGGGGCGGCCCACACTCCAAGCAGGGAAGGGGCAGCTTGTTTATTTATTTTGAAATCGCAGTCACTGAGGACCGCGAGGAAGAGGCCAGGGGGAGATGGAGTCATGGAGTATAAATCCTCGAGCGCCCGTGTTCCACGTTGCTGGAATTCCCCCCCTTTGGTCTGCATTTGTCCTGTGTGTCTTTGGTGGAAGAGAGCAAAGGAGTGGGGGTAAGGAGAGAGAGAGAGAGAGGAGACACAGCTCCTTCATTATCATTCTTAATAAGTCTTAAGGAATAAAGAGGAGCATTGAGTGTAAATGCTGGGTAATCCTAACACTTCTCAAGGTGAGAGGAGGCTTGAGGACATGGAGAAAAGAGGCAGCCGAGGAGGGGGCGGCAGGTGGGGGCCCAGAGCGCGTGCAGTGGAGGCCCAGGGGTGGGAGGCTCCCCAGGAGGCTTAGAGCTTGGGGTGGGGAAACCCCCAAGATATCCCAAGTGGGACGGGGGGCTGCTGACACACAGGAGATCGCCCGGGTGGGGCGGCCTGCTGATGGCAGGGAGGGATGGTGGGATTCCTTCCCCTCAGATGTGGGCAGGGGCCACAAGCCTTTGCTTCCTCCTGGCCACAGTGTCCCCAGCCTCTTGGCCTGAGGCTCTTGGAAGAGGCCTAGGTGAGGGTCGGGGGGCGCTTGTCCTGCTTCAGGACTCCTCTTGCTGTCCCCTCTGGTTCCCCTGCCATGGCCACTCTGGGAATCCCAAGGGCCTGAGCGGCGGCCAGAGCTCAGCTCCGGACACTAGGTGGCTTAGGGGATCTGCGAGGTTCTCAAGCAGCAGCAGCTGCGGGCTTTCCTCTCCGCCCCGCTGGTGGGCTCCACGGTGTGGTGCGTCTGCTCTGCCGGCTCAGCGGGCAGCCCTGGCGGACTGGCACAGCCTGGCTCCCGGGCAGACCCTCCAGGGACCAGCTCCCGGGCAAAGTGAACATGAGGCTGGAAAGAGCTTCGGAGGGCGAGGCCAGCCAGCTGGGGACACTCACAGCAGAGACCATGGACGAAGAAAACCCAGTCTGTGTGCTCTGCCCTGCCGTCCTCGGCCACCTGGGCACGAGGCACTGCTGAGCCCTGAGGGGACTCGGAGCTGTGTGCTTCCCTGCTTTGGAGTTTCTGTGCTCCCTTTGAGAATCCTCTTAATAAAAAAATTGTCATAAGCATAAATATTGCTTATACTTTGAGGGGTCTCTGAGA